GTTAAAGATATCCACCAAAAGAAGCCCTTTTTTTAGGGGTGTGAAATGTGGATTTAAAGTCAGTGAATTTCCCAGAAGTGATTTGATTATTCATGACTCCCTTTTCCCAAGAACTGAGTTATATTTGTTCACAGTAAACCAATTCTTCTATTTTTTGATAAACTTAGTGCAGGCAGCTCAGCTTAATATTCGTACTGACATTTCTCACTCACATTTCTCAGCCAAGGGTTTTTATTTCAGACTAATATTGTATCTTCTTTCCACACCAATTTAAGGGAACAGTTCTTACCCTAACATTAACTCTTGGACTGGAATTTATACAGCACACTTAAACAATAAATATATCTGATATAAGAATTTATTTTGGATTTTTGTTTTTATTTTATTTTTTGTCTTACATTTGATTTATTTTTGTCTTACAGTGCATTATGTTGATTCCTCGAACACCTCTTTACCCATTTAAAAATCAAGTTAAACGATCATTAAAGTAGATGTAGTACTCATTACCCCTGATAGCTATAGCCGCAGCTAAACCTTCCGTCTTGCATAGTGGGTAGTCTTTGTCATGTTTTTTAACGATACTACATTGAGCTCTTGGAGGTACATGCCTGTTTGAGGCTCCACGGAGAAATATGGCTGTCCTTGTAGTATGCTGTACACCAGTCTGGCACTGTTGCCATACGTGGGATCATCAGCATCTGTAGCAGTCACTTGCATCACTGACGTACCTACGGGATGCAAACATAGTCATAGTGAGAGACGAGTCAGCTGGTGACCTGTGGTGGTAATTCAGCTCAAAGAATCTGTATCTGAATCAGTATTTGTGTAGGTTGTCATCTAGGTCATGTTATCCAAAGCAGTTACACTGAGAGCAAATGGACTGTATTATCTTGAAGATGTTTCTACTCTTGTCCAAGAAGCTACTTCAGAACAGAAGAAGCCTCTTGGGAGAGGGGATAATGTCTTCTGGAAAAATCTGCGAGTCCAGTTGCCATTGATGTACAGTCATCCCTCTCCTATCGCGGTAGTTGCGTTCCAAGACCCACCGCAAATAGGGAAAATCCGTGAAGTAGAGCCGAAATAGTTACTATATTATTTAAGTATATATTTACCCTTTACAAACCTCCCCCACACTGTTAACCCTCCCTAGACTGTATTACCCTTCCCCACACAGGTATATGCACAGTAGAGTTGTGTAATGGAAATATAAGACATACATATTACATAAATAAATTAAATTCACATTGTGAATGAGGTTAGTACTCAGCTGCAGAAGGGAGAGCACGGGAGTGGAGACGCAGCTGCAGCCCTGGACGCAGGTGAGTAATCGCAATTGGAGTAATCAAGCCTCTACTTATATTAGTAAGAGCCGGGACCGAGGAGCGAGGAGAGTGAACAGAGGAGTTCATACTGGCCAAGACGGACGGACCGCATATGAAAGCCGGGCACAGCGCAGGAGTGCACATTATTGTAAAGAATAATAAAGGCTGTCAGCGTCTTTGTTTGGTGTTAATAACAGAAGCCTGAGAAGATGATCAGAGTGTTTAGGAGGCATCGTAGGGCATTAAATTAGGGTCAACTTTCACCAAACTTAACATCAACTAAAACAATGAAAATATTGGAAATTGAAAAAAGAATAAATGACCATCAGTATAGCAAAACTCTCTCTGTACAACACTTCACTGGTGCCTCTCCAACATTTTATGACACGATTTTAAGACTACACATCTGTGGACGCTTTTGGAACGCTTGGCTTTAAGAACATTAATAAAAACTAAATTGGATTACACCAAATTGATCAAGGCTAGCACATTACGTTAGCTTCACTCTTAAGAGACAATTCAAAAAGACTATACTGAAATTTACTGCAATCACATTTCCTGGATTTGTAAAAACATTCGAAATGAAGGTTTTGGTTAGAATTATGTGTGAAACAAGCTACAACTCCATCAGTAACTCCAATAACACTCTAATTCAGATTGTACTGAATGAGATTTCCAAATGATTTAATTAAATTATATTATTTGTCACCTCTTCTTCCATCATCATATTTTATCTCACCTTAAGATTAATTAAGATTAATACTCCATACTCCTTCATCATTTGTATTATCTGCATTCTAATTCTAATTCTTCTTTTTTTTTTTTACCCGATTAAGGGTTTTTCTTGGGAGTTGTTCCTCAGCTGATGTAAGGGTCCATAAGGGCAGAGAATGTTTACTTTTTTTTTCTTTTCTTTCTTTTGTGATATTTAATGGTTTTGAACCGCTGTAAAGCACATTGAATTTACCTTTTGTATGAAATGTGCTCTATAAATAAATTGAATTGAAATGAATTAAGATTTACAACTTACCAACATTGGACATCTCAGGAACCCTGGCGTAATACGGGCCGTGCAGAAATTCAGGAGGATTGTCGTTTATGTCCTGCACTTTTACTATAAATTCAGACGGAGGTTCCAGGGGCTTGTTGGTGTCTCTGGCCACTGCCTGTGCTGTTAAGGTGTACTGGGCCTGCTCCTCGCGGTCTAAGGTTTTTGTGGCGTGGATGTTGCCCGTTTTGTCATCAATAACAAAAATGGTCCCAGCACCCTCACCAGAAAGGATGTACTTGATGTTACCGTCACCTGAGTCTACATCTGAATGAAGCTGAAAAAGAAAGAAAGAAGAAAAAGGGGTCAGAGTTGTATGAACTAAAGTCACGCTTACTTTATTTACACTTAGTGAGGCTGGCATGACATGCAAACACCGGGTGCCTTTTATCAGGACCAGTCGCTCTTCTTGAATTATACTTAACTCATCTTACCTATCTCTTCTCTCATTATTCTGAACAGAGAGCCCACCCGAGTTTCATTATAAAGTCAGATCTTCAGTCAGGGATTCCTCTATTTTAATAGAAGAAATAGCTTGAAGTTGTAGGCATTATTTGGTTAAGAGTTGTGTTACTCACCCTGCCCACCAGAACAGGGTCAGGTCCAGTGTACTCTTCAATGACAAAGAACTGATTCCAGACCCATCCACGTTTTGACCTTTGAAGCACCTGTCCCTCTTTTCCCATATGTCGTCTTTGTCTGTGCATTGACAAGTGATCTACAAGGACACAAAAAAAAAAAAACATCGGTATCACAAGTCATTATCCATTGTCACTGAGTCTCTGGAGGTAAGGACCCAAATGCAGAGTGATGGGTAAAATGCACATATGTGTATATACGTATGTACGTATGTATGTATATATATATGTATAAACATATTTTTATTCCTAATGTAGCCGAACCAAACACAGAAATGAAGTTGTTACCTGTATGTCTCTGACTCCACCGATCTTTTGTTTCAGCAAAACTACAGAGTGAAGTAAGTCCTAACAAGACCAGGAGGGCCCTTAGAAGCCCAAGGCCCGGCTGGCTCATCATCTGCCTTAGTGACTTCTTGTCAGATAGAAGCAACCGTGGGCTTCACTTATTCTTAGACTTCAGTAGAGCTGCTCCCAATGAGGTGATGTTTTGTTTTTGCTCACAAAAATGTTGTTGAATATGAATATTTAATTCAGAGGCTGAGATGAAATTTGTTGCTTTTTCCGATCACAAGCGTCCACATCACTGTCGTTACTTTCCCAGATGTTTTTTTTGACAAGCGTCCACATCACTGTCGTTACTTCCCTGTTTTTTTTTCTGTCTCACAATGTTTATTTCCTTTTGTCCTCTCCTGATGGACCCTAAAGAAAGAGAGAAAGAGTCATTCAGTTAAATAAAAACTATTCAAATTTTAACAAAGCAAATAACAAAATAACACCAATAAAAGATCAGCGAGCATTAGATAGTTGTGAATTGGACACATCAAAATCAAAATGAGCAAATTTCAAGATCAACCATATTTGCCCCTGCAGTCAACTATAGTTCAACGTAAATTGAGAGAAGTGCAATTTTTTTAAAAAAATGTGATAATTTATCCTAAGGTGCAGTACAGTAGCAGTATTTAAATGTGACTTATTAGTGAAAATAATGGTTCCATAGTCAGGGTTCGAATTACATTTTTTGGTAAAGATGCACTGGTGCACATAAAAAATAAATACTTGCACCAGCAAAATTACTGAATTAACTGAGGTTCTTTCACAAAAACAAAGACATTCTACGTGTAAAAATGTTAATGACAAAGAAATTCTTTTATAGGTATTTAAACAGCTGCAGCCTTGGGCCAAACATGACAGTGTATCGCTATTGCTTTGCTACTATTCCCAATGCGGCATGCCCTGGATTTCCCGAAGGTCTCCGACTTTTGCCGAGCTCCATGCAAGTTACCGGTTTTATCCATATTTGGGGTATTGAACACATGATTTGTGTCTCGTGATCATCAGCAAATTATCGGGGAAGAGAGCAAGTTGTTCCCAGGGAATACGAGAAAGTGAAAAGAAACGCAACCCTGCGCTGCATCGGCTGATTCTGGGTTACCAAGGACATTTAACACTTAACAAGGAAAAAAAATAATAATAACGCACTGGAAACTATTTTTTTAAAAATTTTATTTATTTTCAGCTTTTTATTAGATAATTCTACCGGTGGTACAAGTAGAAAAAGCTACTTGTACTGGTGTAAGTTGGGTACCAAATTATGTGCACCGCTCCAATTTTACATGCACAAACATGCACGTGGTAATTCGAGCCTTGATAATAATAATAATAATACATTTTATTTCATAGGTGCCTTTCTGTCACCCAAGGACACCTTACAAAGATAACAACACAGCATTAAAAAAAAAAAACAATAAACATTAAAACATTAAGAACAAGTTAAAATACAGCAGTGAAATATCAGATGGAGAAGGCAATTTTAAACAGATGAGTTTTAAGTGCAGACTTGAATTGTGGGAGTGAATTGATGTTCCTCAAGACATCAATTCTTGAGTAGAGAGTTCCAGAGCTGGGGAGCAGAGTGACTGAAAGCTCTGTACGCTCCCCTGGCGTTCTAGCAAGGGGGCGTCCTGAAGAAAAATCCATAGAAAAGCCGCATATTTATATAGGCCGCAGGGTTCAAAGCGGCTTATAGTCCGGAAAATACGGTAATGGATATGCAAATAATACAAATAAATATAACAGCTTCAGCATGGACTGATTGACAGAGATCATAGACGGTGAAATACTGTTTATCATTATTATTATTATTACTTTTATTTTATTTTTTATGGTCAAATGAGACTGTAGTGCGCGCAAACGAGAGAGTGGCTGCCTCATTCCCCGCAATAATGGGAAACATGGACCAGTCTGTTAACATAGTATAGCTTTAGAGATGAGAACAGAGTGAAAACCCTTTGAGTGTTCAAAGCTGAAGTAGTTCCAAATTACTTAATTTTTCTTTCTTTCTTTGTAACCAGAGGCTGCCTTTCTTGCCATTCTTCCTTGGTAAATAACTGCTCCATCCTCCACTAGCTCAAAACTTGCTCGAAGTGAAATGTTTGTTTTTGGGGACGGGGCGAAGTGCACTACAGTAGTGTACCCTGCTTGAGAGTGAGAGCAAGACTGGCGCAGGCCGAAAGGCAAAATCATTTTTTTTTCGGTTATCTTGTTTTCATAATCGTGGGAAGCCGAAATTATAATCTGAACCAATTTCCATTTAATCGCCCAGACCTAGAACGACATATCTCTAATGGCAGCCTATGAGGTGCAACCACGTACTTTATGGCGCCACCTGTGGCAGCCTGTGTGGGTTGCAAAGACTCACACTGTTAATTTCCCCACAGTAGGACAAATAAGGGAAACAATTATAACCGTTATTACTACTATTGCTACTACTACAATTTTTTCAATTTCACCGTCCATCCACTTCCTCATTCTACACAGTCTGTTCTTGTGATGTTATTTCTGCACACTGAAGGAGCCAAAAACCATCCCGACTCCCATATGTTTTGTGGAGGCTTTGACTTCAGGCCTCCCATGTACTGTGTAAATATTTAGTATATGTTCTTAAAAATATGTTTTCCAGAAAGTGTCAAATTGAACCATGGTACTGCAGAGTGGGACAAAGTCCAACATTCCACAAGAGTGAGGGGACCCCATCACTGCTCACTTGATTCATTTAGTGGCTTCTAGCAATTTAGCAATAATTACCATTTAGTACAAACAAAGCTCATCATTGTGAATGGAGATGATATGCCTGTCCCAGTGGCAGGCACAGCACAAGACACCAAAGAGGCCTTCATGTAGTCCCCAGGGTTGCTCTTGTGGGCTTACAACCAAATTAGGATTTAAAAACAAAACCTGCAACTAAAGCTGTGGCTGAGCAGGACTCTCATTATGTCTAGGGTTACAATCTATTACTTTCTATTACTTTCCTCCTGGACTGATCATTACAGTTCATGGCGTTACATTCTCTTGTACTCACAAAAGTGAGAGATGAAAGAAGTCATCAGGTTGCTATAGAATTGCTGGGTTTCCTATCGCTGTTTTATGTAAATCTTGTGTCCTACATTTACAAAGCATACTTTTCACGTTTGACATCACCAGCAACTAGTCAACATACACACACACACACGCACACACACACACTGTTTGTATACAGTATGTATCAGAGGTGGGACCAAGTCCTTGCTTTGCAAGTCATAAGTAAGTCTCAAGTCTTTGCACTCAAGTCCGAGTCAAGTCTCAAGTCAAGACAGGCAAAGTCCAAGTCGAGTCCAAGTCAAGACTAAAAAGTGTCAAGTCAAGTCCCAAGTCCTTACGTTTCTGTTTCGAGTCCTTTTAAACAAAATAATAATATATTTACACAGATCACTTCGGGTTTTGGAGAAAGTATCAAGTCTTGTCGAGTCAAAGGGCTCAAGTCCAAGTGAAGTCACAAGTCATTGATGTTAAAGTCCAAGTCGAGTTGCAAGTCTCTTTACATTTTGTCAAGTCGAGTCTAAAGTCATCAAATTGATGATTCGAGTCTGACTCGAGTCCAATTCATGTGACTCGAGTCCACACCTCTGGTATGTATACACACAGTAAAGCTTCAAGCAAATTGACAATTTGAAATGGAAGTTCATAGCTACATTCATGCACAAAACCACACTGCAACCAAATGCGTTACCTGTTGCCAGTTACATCTATTTTTGGTGCGACCATGCATGTTTTCTTTTTTTTTTATTATAAAGAATGGTGATTTAACTCATACATTTCAAATACATTTTCACAATGATGTATATACATTTGTTCAAACTGTTTTATTTTGAATTTGAAAGAGTAGACCCTTGGTGTTCAAAATTCCCCCTTATTTAATCTAACTAACCCTAATCATCTTAAATAAAACACTAAATAAATGATCAGGTTAAACAGCAACTCTTTACATCCCTCTCCCACTCACCTGTAACTAGAGAGGGAGAGAGAAGGGGAGGTGGAAACACCTAAGTGGGGGTGGGGTTGGGGGGGCACGCCTCTAGATGGGATGAATAAATGAAACATAACGCATAATATTTCCAATGCTGCAAATGTTTACCAAGAGACTTGAAAAAAAAATGGATTGGTTTAAGGATCATATTATATTACAAAGGAGGCCGTAATTTTTAATTCTTGCTCTCATTCTTGCGATCACCCATTCATTCTGCTCGGAGTAGCAGTAGCAGCCCCGTGCAGTGCGCCCCCTGCCACAAAATTTTACTCCTGCCAACTGACCACAGTTGGCAATGCTAGCATAAAATGGACAAGTTTAATGTACATAAAAACAGTTACATTTAAAATGTGTGAAATAAATGAGTGGGAAAACAAAATACATTTTCTTAACCAAAAGGGAGGCCGCAGCAGAGAAAGTTTTGGGAACTACTACTACTACTATTTAGCCTATGTTGTTGGCAACTGCCATTTTGTGCCACATGTTTTTCTGTTACTTGGATGTGCTTAATGATCTTATAATAGAAAATATGTTGAGTCATACCTAGATGTCTTTGTCTGTTGTCCCTTTGAAGAAAGGGAGCTTTTACTTTCCTGGTTTCTGATGCAATGCTAAGTGTTCTTAGCAGTCCAATGCCCACCTCATCAACTCTAGTGATTTATCAGACATCATTGTCTGTATTCACCTCTTTCTGTGCCTTAAAACATGTTTATTTTCCTCTGTCTTCTGTTGTCAATGTGTCTGTCCTGACACCTTCCCCTGCACAGCCATGCCCACGCCACCCACTGCAGGAAATCTGACACCTCATCAAGCTATGCCAGGTTCCCCCCTCACCTCCGACCGACTCTTGCTATCAAAAAGCAAGTGGGATGTGAATAGGCTTTTCAAAAAGCAAACCCCCCGCAAAGCAGGTGGACCGGGCCACATCTCACCTGCTACCCTGAAACACTGTGCTGACCAGCTGTCCCCAGTGTTCACAGACATTTGCAACACCTCACTGGAGATATGCCAAGTGCCATCCTGCTTCAAATCTTCCACCATCATCTCTGTCCTGAAAAAGCAAAATCCCTCCGGACTAAATGACTACAGATCCATTACCCTAACCTCTGTGGTTGTCGTCTTGTCCTGACACACCTCAAAGCCATCATTGACCCACTCCTGGACCCAAACCTGCAGTTTGCATATGGAGCCAACAGGTCTGTAGACAATGCGGTCAACTTAGCCCTCCACTTCACCCTGCAGCATCTGGACCACACAGGAACCTATGCCAGGATCCTCCATCCATCCATCCATCCATCCAACCATTTTCATCCGCTTATCCATTACCAGGTCGCGGGGGCAGCAGTTGCCACCCACA